GCTATTATAAATAACAAACAACATGTGTTATTTAAAAATGAAACTGGATTAGTTCCACATAGAAATTTCAAGCTCAAAGACAATCACTAAAAAGTTTTAAAGGTAGATAATATGGATAACAAGAGAGAAAACAGAATCTCATAAAATCAGTTTTATTCATAACTGTCAAAACTTGGAAGATTATAACACAATAATGATAACATTTTTAAAACCCTGAAGGCAATCACCATGTCTCTTGGTAGGTGTTATGGTTTGGATATGAGGTATGATTGAGTTGTAGCCTTAGTCTAATAAGTGAATTAATCCCTCATGGAATTAACTGAGTAATAACAGGATGCAGGTGGGGTGTGGATGGAGGAAATGGTTCATTGGGGGTGTGGCTACTGGGATGTGGAGAGTGGAATCTCTTTGCTTCCCAATCACCATATGAGCTGTTTCCCTCTGCCACACTCTTCCTCCATGATATTGGGCCTCACTTCAAACCCTGGGGACTGGAGCCAGCTATCTATGGACTAAGATTTTTAAAACTGTGAGCCCTTAAATAAACCTTTCCACCTCTACAATTGTTCTGGTTGGGTCCTTTAGTCTCAGTGGTGAAAAAGCTGACTAAACAGTAGGTAAATGAACTAGTATATATATCTAGACAATGGGATATTATTAACTAAAACAATATGAGCTCTAAAGTCACAACAAGATAAAGACGATGCTTAAATGCATATTAGTAAGTGAAAGAAGCTAACTAAAGAGGTTACATACTGTATGATTTCAACTATATGACATTTTAGAATAGGCAAAATTATGTGTAAGGAATAATAATAAAGAGTAGACAGAGACAAGGTACAGAGGCAGGAAAGTGGCAGAGTGGCTCCTTGTCCAAGCAGCCACATTTATTTATACCAATAGGTTATATTAGGTCATTAGTACCATAACTACAATATTGTTTAGAGTATCAGTAAGGTTGCTTATTTTGCAGTAATATTTCACAATTACAATAAGCAATGTTAGGATCTTTGGGTAGTTCTCAAGAAAGTCCATTGTATGAAGTTACTGTTAGGTGGCCAGATCCAGGAGCACCAGAGCTTGGTCAAACATTGTAGTTATCAAGCAAGTTCCTTTATTCCCAGGAGCTACGTGCCTGCAATCAAGATTGAGGCTTGATGAGGCAATAACACAGAGGCTTCTCAGGGCATTGCCATACCAGCTAGACACTGCACATATATTAGCTATATAATTAGATCCTAAGAAAGATTTCAGGGCATTCTAAGGGTGGGAAACAGCATGTCTGTTACCCAGCCCCCTCCCCAGGAGTTTTCTCGCCAGGGGAATGCTTCCAGGTACATTTCCACATAGTTGTAGAATCCCTACAATTATGAGCTAGTATTAAAAAAAAAAGTGATGTTCAAGGATTAGAGGGGATGAAGAAATGAACAGAAGGAGCACAGAAGACTTTTAGGATAGTGAAACTACCATCTATAATAATATAGAAGTACACATATGTCATTCTGCATTTGCCAAAAACCACAGAATGTACATGAAGAATGAATCCTAGTATGAACTATAAACTTACAGTGATTATGATTTATCTATGTAGTCTCATCAACTATAATAACTCTGGTGAGGGATATTGAAAATGGACATGTGTGGGAGTGGGGAAAGGAGGATTTTTTAAGAACTTTATACTTCTCAGTTTTGCTACTTTCTATTGCTCATTTATCTCTTGATAAGTCTTTTAGCAAATTTCTTATCGAAGTTTTTGTGCTATTAGAATATCTATATGTAGTTTTATAAATAAGTATGTAAATAAATTTATCTTTAAAGAACACATGAAAAACAAAAGTATTTCCTTCCTTAAATATATCCTGTCCCTACTATTCCTTTCTTATATTCTCTAACTCCCACGTGAAGTTCTTAAATTATAAAATATTTAGAAAACTTCATAAAACTTTATGACAGGAGCTTGCCAAAAACAAACTAAACTAAAACCACCAAACACTCCATTGCCTGAAATCAATGGTAGCTTATAAGCTCCTGAAAGATCAATAACATGATACATGTTCTATGATAAGGGCCAAATCTGAATTACAAATAAATATCCTATCAAATTCAACACGAACTCTCTTTTTAGCCAAACTGGTTTTCTTCAAAACTGCCTTTTCTTGCCTATGTGCTCCTACTTTTCTCTTATATATATTGAGAATGCCTTCCTCTCTGCCAACACATAGTCTTCTCATCCATCAAAGTTTAGGAAAACATGTTATGCAAAGAGCATGAATCCTGGAGTTAGGCTGACTTAGATTTTCATCTAGGCCATGCTATTTACTGACTCATGTCTCTGAGTCTGGTTTTCTCATTTATAAAATAGAACAACAGCCATTTTTAGATGATATCTAAATAACAGAATTATTGTTAGAATATAGGTAAAGTCCATGGGACAAAGTAGAATTAATTAACCATCAGAACTAAATTTGTTATCCCAATTTGGCTGACTGTAATTTGTTCATATAATTCATTTAGCAATTCAAGCCTGAATTCACTACATCTCTTACACTTTTGTCTTAAGTGATTATTTATTTTAATTCTTATTTCTGTCTTACATTTTATGTCTCTAAACAGACTGGTAGCTTCTTAAAAGTCAGGACTATACCATACCTATTTACTATTCCACATGGTTTAACACTATGCTCTTTACAAAAGAAGAGTCAATAAATATTTCCTCAATGGAGTCTTAGTTGGAAGTAGTCTATTCAGAAAACTGGAAACACATTTTGAAAACATTAAAAGTGTATTAACACACTGGAACATCCACTGAAGGGTAAAGAAAGAGGTAAAGACAGAGGACAAAACAACTTGGGAGTGGGCATGGAATATGTGAGGGATAAGAAAGAAAGAATGTGTATACTAATTCTGATAACAGGAAAACCATAGATATTTAGAAATTTAGCCTAAAGAAAGGCTTTGGAGAGTGTGAGAACTTTCTAAGTGACGATAACATAGAATTCTATAATATCGGAAACACTCAACAATGGAATAAAGAGGATTCATTTTAACAGTAGGTACCTTTTAAAATTAAAGGCACCTAAGCAGAACTCAGTGTTGATACAGTTTTTAATCCACATGACAATATCAGAAAGATGTTGAGAAGAATTATAACACTACGAATACCGTCAGTAAAAAAGGGTGCTATGATCACTTAAGAATCTGTCACAAGCCTGGAAGAATACAGAGTATCACAAATACCTCATAACTAGTATCCTCAAACTAGAGGAATAATTTTCTGAAACAATCATTCCTCATCAAGAATGTAGACATGAACTGGGTCAAGTCTTTCTAAACTCCTCAAGTCTACGACTCCATGTTTACTTAGTAACCAATATTCTGTAAGGATTCAATAAAATGATATTTTCATATATTTAAATAATAGTCCTCAGCTAGGAAACTGAATTATTGTTTAAGCAACAAAAAAAGCATTATAATTTCTCATCCTGTAATTCACTCTTTGAGACCATAATACCAGTTTTTAAGCATCTTCCTGTCTTTATTTTTGGTAAAAATTTGTGACTACCAGATATCAACAGAAAAAAACATACAAATAGGCAAAAGCTATATTGATATCAGTTAACTGTGTGTGGGCGGTGGGCAGGTGTTGGGAACAGAACCCATGGTTCATGCATGCTAGGCAACTGCTTTAACACTGAGCAACACCTCCAGCCCAAATAGAACTTTTTTAAATAAAAATAGTCTTCCTTTATTAATGTCCCCAGAAGTTCATTACTAATTAAACCAATCAACATTTTTTAAAAATCATATCTTAAAAAACACTGAAACAGAAACTTCATCTTGCTTCCACATACATGTTCTTCTCAAAGAACATAAAAGAAATATTCCCTGCTACCCTAGAAGTGTTCTCAAAGTGAGGTTACTCAATCAGCAGCAGCAGCACCACCAGCACCAGAACCACTAGCACCAGCACCACTCCCATCAGCAGCTGTGCCAGAGATGCTAATTCCCATCCCATGCAACCTATCAAGTTAAAAATTCAAGAGTTCACCCAACAATCTGGATTTTAACAAGCCCTCCAGGACTCCTGCTGCAAGCTGAAGTTTGAAAATCAGTGACTTATAAATTGTCTGTTTCCTAACACAGCAATAACCCTTTACCTACTTCCTAATCCTTCTCTTTTTCACATTTAGCATAACCCAATGATTTATCTCATTTGAATGATTAATTCACCAATAACTCTGTGATGATTTCCTACTTTCCTTTAAACCATCAAATGTTTCTAATTATTTATTATCCATAAATCATTATAAGCTATTTAGGGAGAAAGGGATTTTTAACTTATGTCAACAAGCATGAGAACAATTCTGTGTAAAAACCATTCTGTAAACAGGCCTACATTTTTCTTTTCATTCTATCCTGTACAATATAACACACAATAGTAGAGAATTTTTTTAATAAATTGTTATCTATCAAACAGCTTATAATGAAATCATTCCATGAACATAAAAACTGCCATTTTCTACGAAAAGAAATGTTTATCTCTTTTGATGGTTATATGAGTCTTGAAAGTATTTTCTTGAGAAACACACTATATAACATGAGTCTTGCTTAGCAAATTGAACTATTATTTATGGCCTAGAATTTCAGCTATGATTAATACGTAAGAATGAATGCAAGGAAACTGGCCAATGCATACTCCTTTAGAAAGGAAATCGTAAGTAAATTTAATGTAAGTGTTTTTAGAAGTGTTCTCTCAAAAATGCTGACTCTAAGTAGGTACTTTTAGACATTATACAGATACATTTATGTATAAGCAGGAACATCTATTCAGTAATGCTGATTAAATAATGACAACAACAAAATAAAATATGCAAAATCAACTATTTTGGTTGATGAGCAATGCATCTAAGACCATAATTAATAAATTTGGTAGAAAAATACTTCAGTTTATAGATATTACATGGTAACTCATAGCCAGATGCAACAAAGGACTGACTTACCTGTGCACATAATGTAGTTGATGAACTGAGTCAATTGCTATCACCATCTCAGCCAAGTAAAATCGAGCCATATCTTCAGGCAATCTATCTTCAAATTTGCTGAGCAGAGTAAGCAAATCCCCACCAACATAATAATCCATAACCAGGTACTATGAATAAAAAACATAAAATGTCCTCAATAATTAGTAAGCATGAGAAATTAATATACAATGTTAATTACTTATATGGTTAATTAAAAAGAAGTATATAAGATGATCACCAGTAGTCATTATAAATGTTTCTAAATTTCATACAGCACTGAAATAACATTCTTAAAATCTGGAGCAGAGGGTCAAGGTTGTGGCTCAGTGGTAGAGCACTTGCCTAGCATGCATGAGGCACTTGGTTCGATCCCTGGCACCATATAAAGATAAAAACAAATAAAATAAAGGCATTGTGTCCATCTAAAACTAAAATATATACATATATAATGAAGCAGAGAACAACACAGGATTACTATTTGTTGTTGTTGTACTTTACAAAGTAATATGTTCATCATCTTTACCTACAACGGACCAACCTTTGCCAACATTTCACACAAGACTGAACATTTTAACTCTCCAAAAACACACTCAGAATATAGGACACTATATGTGTTGAAAAAAAATCTAATTACTATTCATCATCACTACAATTTCCTAACTTGACCTTGGATCAGTAAGAACTTTACTATATAACCAGTACCAGTCTATGGATTGAAAACCACTATGATATGGAATACAATTTCCATCATGTGTTTCACTTCCCATTTCTGATGGAGTACAAATATCAGAATGCACTTTTCTCAGGTGTATGTAAATGGCAGCCAATTAATTTTGGATATGAACCTTAATTGGGGGCAAGAGGGGAGAAGTATCCACGCCAAAAAACAAACAATAAAGAATATACACCAACATGTTTACTGGTTTCGCTAGGTTGTTAGACTTCAGATGATGTCATAGCTTTATGCTATCTTCTAGACTCCCTTTTAAATATGTAGCACATATACATGTGTATATGGATATATCACTTAGCATGAAGGCTAGTAAACAGAAGTTATTTAAGCAATTATAATGACTTGATGAAAAACTAATTTTATTACATGGTTATCACTGAATTGACAATTCAATTTAAAGAAACTTGAGAAAATTAAATCCTTTTTACTACTATACACAAAAATTATAAGCATAAAAAAAGATACGTTAGGGCTGGGGATATAGCTCAGTTGGTAGAGTGCCTGCCTCTCATGCACAAGGCCCTGGGTTCAATCCCCAGCACCCTCCCCAAAAAAATGTATGTTAAACCAAAGAAGCAAATTTCCTATATTTAAAGTCTTGAAAATTAAAAAAACTCTATTTTAAATCCTATCTTATGGCTTACTTATTTACTAGGTCTAGTGTTTAAAAAACTCCACCCTTACCTTTAGAACAAGCTAACAAATTTTTATTAACATAAAAACAATTTATCATATAAACAATTTTTCTTGACAATAGAAATTAGACTATAGAAAAATGGAGAAATAAATAACTAAGCACATCTACTAATTCCACAGATATTTATAAAAGTACCTACATCTCATTTATTCAATGGGTGTACAACAAAATTTCCTGCCTTCCAGGAATTTACAGTGTTATAGAAAAGAAAACACAAATAATGGGCAATTTCAGTGTACTATAAATATTTCAACAAGAATAAGCAGAGAGGCTGCTATTGGCTCTTGAAAGAAAGAGCCTCATCTGTCAACCAGGATCATTTATTTGACTGACTTAATGTTTTGGTAAAACTGTAAAGACTATTTTCTTATAAATAAAGAGTGTATTATCTAAAATAATTAGTTCATTCTTCCCCCAATTCAATTAAGATGTCCTCTCCTCATACTTCAAGATTCCAAACACACTCATTTGTTCCTGAGCACTCTATTTTGCTGTGGTTGCCTATATCAATATCATATTGTCCTGATTAATTTCAGAGTAAAACTGAGTGTCTGACAATAAGACTGAGCAGGACTAAGCAGGTCCCTAATTGCCCCTTCATGGTTTCCAACTGAAAGCGAGTTGCTTTTAAAATATTGTTTCCATTAATCATTAGGTTCCAGGTTCTGGAGCTGCTGACTCCTCCCTTAAGCTTTTCAACAACCCTATACATGTTTAATAGGCCTGAACTTGACCTATACATGATTTTCCTGGGATGGTGGAAGTAAGTAAGGCTATCTTTTATGAGCTGAGCACAGAGGAACTCAATGCACATATGCAAATCACCATGTCAAATGCAAACCCTGGTGCTGATGGCAAGGAACTGACCAAAAATGTACAGAACTTCTGAGATTGTGTGCAAGGGCAGATTGTGTCTGTGCCAGCCCACAATCTTTGTCTATATAAGCTTTGCTTCTTACCTCCTCAAATAGCAGTTCAGGGTCCTATCTTGTGCACTGTCTTCCTTTTGCACAGGAAAAAAGCTTTGTTTGGGTGTTACTGCTTACCTTTATCATTTATTTTTTTAATATTTATTTTTTAGTTGTAGTTGGACACAATATCTTTATTTTATTTTATTTTTATGTGGTGTTGAAGATTGAACCCAGGGCCTTGCATGTGCTAGGTGAGCACTCTACCACTGAGCCACAATCCCAGCCCCACCTTTATGATTTCTTTCTCGAATTGAGCAAAAGAAGTCTGTTAACACCAACAACCAATAAGCCCAAAATTAGCTGTACTTTGTCATTTCCTGATTCCTGTCCCAAGTTAAGCAAAAGAACTCCATGATGACTGGTAACAGTAGGAAAGGTTCCTATTCAAAAAGTTGCTTCAAAATAACCCAATATGGCCAAGCACAATGGCAAATGCCTATGATCCCAGATACTCGAAGGCTAAGGCAGAAGGATCTCAAGTTGGAGACCTGCCTCCCCTACTTGGTGTGACCGGTCTCAAAATAAAATTTAAAACAAGAGCTGGGAATGTAGTTCAATGATAAAGTGTCCCTGGGTTCAATCCCCTACCCAAAACATAATTAACTCAATATGGCTAAGGTGTGTTTTAAAATTTTTTTAAATGTATGTATACTAATGATATTCCTAACATGGGTCAAGGAGATAATGATCCTACAATAAAGAGTTCCTACCATTTAAGAAAAGAACAAGCCAACAAAACTAGGCTTAGGGATATTAACAGATAATTTATATAACAGGAAACAATTAGCAATACATATTTAACTTCGATAATACTGAGGGAAATGAAAATTAATGCAGCAAAGAGACCATCAGAACTTTGGGGAGAATGGTAAGACAAAACACTGCTTTTGCAGGATAATATACTACATCTTTTTGAAAAGTAATTTCACAGTATCAAAATTTTAAATATGAATGCCCCTTGATCTAGCACTATCACTCTTAGAAATCTATCAATTAAAACAAAAGCTCAAATACATCAGAAATATGAGCAAGCACAAAACTTTATTAACTTCAGCAAATCAGAAAGAATGTGAATAGCAATCAAAAAGTAAAAAGTTAAATATTTACATATACATTCTATGAAATATCATACAGTTGCCAAAAATAATAATGAAATATATGCCCGTGAGATATTTAGGGAACAAAAGCAAGCTGCAGAAAGTAAATTGTACAGTAATACATATTTTATAATTCAATTTTTTTATTAAAAAAGGGGAAAAATACATTTATAGACAGAAAATGTATACAGTGTTTAAAAATGAACAGACACAACCAACATTAGTTACTTCAGAAGGATAATATGGAAAGATGAAGTTAAGAATTATTGATGTTTTATGTATAAGCCTACATTGTAAAGAGGGGAAAATCTAACCAAATCAAAAGTGACAAATGCAGTAATGTTCTGCAAAAGGGTAGAGCTACTGTGATAAAGTCAAAGGAAAGTGTTGAAAGGAATAACCTTAAGGGCTGGGGATGTGGCTCAAGCGGTAGCACGCTTGCCTGGCATGTGTGTGGCCCAGGTTGGATCCTCAGCACCACATACAAACAAAGATGTGTCCGCCAAAAATTAAAAAAAAATAAATATTAAAATTCTCTTTCTCTCTCTCTCTCTAAAAAAAAAAGAAAGAAAGGAATAACCTTAAATAGATACATCTCATCCACATGGGATAAGAACAGGTACAAATATGGATGAACTTGCATCCAGGAGAGAAAAGAGTTGAACTCTGAAGAAAGTTCACCCTTGATTAAATAACAGTTTTCATTTTTTCCATGAAGTAGGAACCATGGAATGCAGGTATAGGGATGCTTATTTAATGTCCCTCCATAGGTTGAAGGTAGGGAACATAACTTTTATTCCTACTTTGTGGCTACAAAACCAGGGGCAAAGAAACCAAATGATTTGCCAAACATAAATTAGATAGTTGAGCCAAGACTGAGGGTTATTAATTTTTAAGACTAGTGCCTTTTATACTCAAGAGGGAATCAATAGTCAATGAATGAAACTAATCATGTCCACAAACTTAAAAAGAGGATGTACCAGGCAACAGAATAATAAAAAAGGAAAATGAGGATTTATACCGTATCTCTAGCAATCTTTTATTCATTAAAAATAAAGAAACAGATTTCTAGGTATAAATATATACACACCACAAGATTTTCAACTCTGAATTTCTAAAAAAAAAAAAATCTATTTTAAAGTTTATGCTTTTTAAAGAGCTACGTTCTAAGGAAACAATGCTAAAACATCTGAAAACACACAATAAATAAATTTTGTACAAGAAAAGAACATTTCATAGGACAGATATACTTTTAGAAGTCATCTTAGGGATAGTAAAAAAACCTCTTTTAGTCATCTTGCTGTCAAACAAGGAGATTAACAATCTTTACAGCCTCACCTTATATTTATTCCTCCTTGCTTTGTTTTACTATTATAAAATTGCTTTAATAATTTCTATCTTCACACATTGGATTCCTGTAAAGAACTTAGAATTCATGAGTTACTAAAATTTAATACTCAAATATTAATATTCGTCTTTTGAACAAATTTTAATTGCTAACTCAAAAAATAAAATGTTTACTTAAACTATTTTCCAATTTTTTTGTCCTCAAACATAAGATAACTAAATAAGATACTATAGATGAGAAAAAAGTACACTCATACATTGGTGGTGGGACTGCAAATTGGTG